CTTCTCCCTCCTTTGGTTCTCCTTCCTTCCCAGTAATAGCCCACTGCCACCTCAGGGTGGAAAAGATCCTATAATGTGTATCTGCTTCTTTCCATCTCTGTTTCTCTGCTTTTCTGCCTCTTTTCCCAGTCACTCTCATCGATTCCTACGAGTCTTCTAGCTTCATGTTCCTGGTGTTTGACCTGTGAGTATCTCCCTGCCCCATCTGAGAAGCCTCATTCCCACCGCCATGTGTGTCCCCATTCTTTCAGCTTAGTGGGCTGGAGACTACCCTGCTTACATCTTCCTCTACTCCAGCTAGGGCTCTGTTACCACAAGCTGCGGCTGGCCCATGGCTCTGGTCCTCTCCCTGTGTGCCATGATTAAGGCAAGTTCTTTAAGGATGATAGTGACCAAAAACAGAATTCTTGTGACCCAAGGGGTCCCTATCCCAGTTCCCCTTTATAAAGGGAAATAAGGTTATAAATTGATCGGTCAGAGAAAAGCTATTTAAGAGGAAAGTGTTCCAACAGTGAATGAACCATTTATAAAACAGATCCTCACTTAACCACTCACTTGTTGCTTAACCCAGTGCTTTGCTCAGTCTCTGCTCATTTGTTCTCTTTTTGGCCTGCCTGAATTCACTTCAATATATTTACAGAATGGACTCTGCAGAAATCTGAAAGGAAGTAGAGCAGTCATTATACCACTCTACAACTTTATAGGACAATGACATTGTTTTGAGGATTGACGCAGAATTGGAGTTACAACTTCAATTTTAAAGACATGATAAAAAAATTCAAAATTGCAAAATAAAGTCCTAGTCAGTCTTGATGCCACTCTTAGCTGAAATTTTGGTCCATGTTCTAAATAGATTCATTTTTAAGAGGACCTTTTCTTTCTTTCTTCCTCCCTCCCTCCCTTCCTTCCTTCCATGAACCCAGGGCAGCCTAACCACTGACCACATTCCCAGACCTTTTTTGTATTTTATTTAAAGAGACAGGGTCTTGGTTAAGTTGCTTAGGGCCTTGCTAAGTTGCTGAGGCTGGCTTTAAACTCATGATCCTCCTGTCTCAGCCTCCTGAGCCACTGGGATTACAGGCATGCACCATTGAGCCTGGCTAAGAGGACTTTTTCAGTTTTAATTATTCTCTCATAATTTACAAGAAGTTACCTATTCTTGCTAAAATGATGCAGTTTGCCCCATTTTGGCATAGTGCAGATATTTCAGCCAGCTCACTGGGCCAAACTGCCTCTGGGATCTCGGTCAATCTCAGAATGATCTCTCCCTAGCACTTTGACTTGTCAGCAGAGGAATCTTATTACTGTAGGCTTCCTTCATAGTATTTATTTATTTTTTTAGTTGTTGATGGACCTTTTTTTATTTATTTATATGTGGTGCTGAGAATTGAACCCAGTGCCTCACATGCTAGGCAAGCACTCTACCACTGAGTTATAACCCCGCCCTCTTCCATAGTATTTTATGGGAGCTCTGGTTCATTTTCTCAGCCTCCTACTGTGGGGTGCATCTGTCTCCTATGCCCCTCCTGTTCCTTAGGATGCGGAAGGGAGAGCTGTTTGACTATCTCACAGAGAAGGTGGCCCTCTCAGAAAAGGAAACCAGGTAATGGCACAGCCTGCAGCCCCTGGGGTGAACAGGGAGTGGGCAGGGCAGGGAGAAGCAGAGGAGGAGACTGCACCTCCCTCAGGTCCATCATGAGGTCTCTGCTGGAAGCAGTGAGCTTTCTCCATGCCAACAACATTGTGCACCGAGACCTGAAACCCGAGAATATTCTCCTAGATGACAATATGCAGATCCGACTTTCAGATTTTGGGTTCTCCTGCCACTTGGAACCTGGCGAGAAGCTTCGAGGTGAGGGGACCTTGCCCTAAGTGGCTTGGGAGGGAAGGAGACCCAGGCCTGAGGTTGATTGACTGGCTAAATCTGAGTAGTCAGTCCCAGGTACCAAGGAAATGGAAGTCAGTAAGCATCTGCCAAGCATCCTCTAGGATGCAAATACTGTGTAATTCAGAGTGGGCTTCTTGACCTGGGAGAATGGAGGCAGACAAGTGAGTAGATGGGCACACAGCTGGCACACCAAGAAAGTCAGGAGGAAGAAACACTTAATTTATCCCGAGGGATCCACAGAGTAGGGATTTCTGGGGTGAATCCTTGTCCCAAAAGGAATGAGGGAGTAGGGACTAGTAGGGCTCAGCAGCATGTTTAGGTTCTACAAAAAATAGCACCACAGTGTACTGTGAGAAGCCTGATATGTCCTGGCCACATCAACTTCTCATCTAGGGCCCTGGGACTTAGGCTTACTCAATCTTGATATATTTGTTGTGACATATTAATATAGAAGTAAGAATAAGAAATAGTCCTAGTGCAAATGGAAACTTCAAGCAAAGTTCATCTGCAAGAATCCTCAGACCCTTTAATATGCTACTATGTCTCCTTCAATGGCTTTGCACTGGATTATTATTAATAGATAACATATCCTGGACACTTGCCATGAGGCAGGTACACACCAAGCCTTCAACATGACTTATTTCTCTAAATCTTCCAAGAACCCTTGGAAGTAAGAGACAAAATGATTTGCCCAAAGTCATTTGGCCAGGATTTAAATTTGGGCAGTCCTCATTCTCTTAATTTGTGGATTTACACTTCTTGCAGATGCTGTGCTTCATTTTCCTCTGGATTTCCAAATACACTTTTCCTCTTTCTGGAATCATTTTTGCCCCTTCACATTATGCCCTCTCCCTTGGCTTGAGTAATTATAATTTCACTGTAAGCTGTCAGGTCAGATAAGGTACCCCTGTTGGTTTTTTTGTGTTTGTTTTTTCCTTTTTAAGTAGTACTTGGGGTTGAACCCATGGCCTCACACATGCCAGGAAAATGCTCTACCACTGAGCTACATCATGTACCCAGTGTACTCCATTTTTCTTATATATACTCCTTTCATGATACTTGTCTTACTCTATTATTCTGAAATAGATGATCTTAGTAAGAAATTCCATATTTTTCCAGGCACGGTGGCACACACCTGTAATCCCAGTTGGGGAAGTGGCTCAGAGGTTAAGTGCCCCTGGGTCTGATCCCCAGTATAAAATAAAAAAATCCATATTTTGCTGGCTGTAGTGACACATGTCTGAGATTACATGCATCAGCAATTCAGAAGGCTGAGGCAGGGGAATCATAATTTTGAGGGCAGCTCAGTAACTTGGCAACATACTGTCTCAAAAAATAAAAATGTTTCCTTGGTATTGCCAAAAAGCAGGGTGGGACTGAAGATGTAGCTCAGTGGTAGAGTGCCCTTGGGTTGAATCCTTAGAACCACACGCAAAAAAAGAAATCCCATATTTCTTCTGCTTGCTCTTCTTGGGTTGAATGGTAGTTCTACTAGCCAGAAGTAAAATTATAATTTGGGGGCAGAAAGGATACAGAAAAAAATTGTTTTCCATATATATAAACTATGTCAAAATGTGGTAACATGTTGTTTGAGGAGTAGGTAGGTTGACTTGGCTAGAATGTTGAAGGAGGAAAATGATATGGGTGGGTAGGACCTTGAAGTCAGTTCCCAAATCAGGTTTTCTTAGCAAGGTTACCAGGAGTCTTGGTGGGCTATTTAAGTTGTTTAGGCAGTGTCTAGTTCTGAGGTTCAGTAGGAAGCAGGCAGGAACAGAATGGGAACACTGCTAGCTCCAGCAGAGATCTGGTATTAAGGGCCTTGGAGGGAGCTGGTGGCATCCCTTCAATCTGCTGTCTCTCCACAGAGTTGTGTGGGACTCCAGGGTATCTGGCACCAGAGATCCTTAAATGTTCCATGGATGAAACCCATCCTGGCTATGGCAAGGAGGTTGACCTGTGAGTGTCTGGTCTTCCCTTCCCCTGTGTACTGTCCATCACATTGCCTTTTACCTAGACCTACCTGATTCTGGTCTCTTTCTCAGCTGGGCCTGTGGGGTGATCTTGTTCACACTCCTGGCTGGCTCACCACCATTCTGGCATCGGCGCCAGATCCTGATGTTACGCATGATCATGGAGGGCCAATATCGATTTAGTTCACCTGAGTGGGATGACCGTTCAAACACCGTCAAAGATCTGGTGAGCTGGGGCTATGAGAGTACAATGGGGAAGCCTTAAGATCTGCCCTTCATGTTCTGGGGTTTCCTCTAGATCTCAAGACTGCTAAAGGTGAATCCTGAGGAGCGCCTGACAGCTGAGCAGGCCTTGCAGCACCCCTTCTTTGAGCGCTGTGAAGGCAGCCAATCCTGGAATCTTACACCCCGCCAGCGGTTCCGGGTAAGCCTGAGACTATCAGGGTCTGCACCTGTGCCTGACCTGTGACCTTTCCTGTGAGGGATGCTCCACTAGAATTCACACTGCCCTCATTCCCCAGGTGGCAGTGTGGACAGTGCTGGCTGCTGGACGAGTGGCCTTAAGCTCACACCGAGTACGGCCATTGACCAAGAGTGCATTGTTGAGGGATCCCTATGCACTGCGGCCAGTGCGACGCCTCATTGACAACTGTGCCTTCCGGCTCTACGGGCATTGGGTAAAGAAGGGTGAGCAGCAGAACCGGGCAGCTCTCTTCCAGCACCGGCCCCCTGGGCCTTTTCCCCTCATGGGCACTGAAGAGGAGGGAAACACCACTGCTATCACTGAGGATGAGACGGCACTGGTGCAGGGCTAGGACCTTAGCCCTGGGCAGCCTCAGAAAGCAGGATTTTCAAGGAGGAGACTTTTATCATTCCAGCCCCTCTGGGCTCTGACCTCAGGCCTAGCAAGGTGCACCACTGATCATGCCACTGTTGTAGAGACCAGCCCTGTGCACCTACTCTCATTGGCTTAGGGCTTGAAATCAGAGCTGGGGTGGAAGGGGAGCCATTCTGAATGCCATGCCTGGCCTTGTCAGTGCTGCTTGTGCTGCATCTGAAATAAAATCTGCTCCATGCTGGGAAGATCATGTGCCCCATGTCTGTTGTCTGGCTTCAGCCCAGAAGGTGCTCAGGAGGGTGGCCCAGGTCGGGGCACTCTGGCCCAGGCTTTTATTGGGGAAAATGTTGGGGATCACTTAGTCTTGTTCTTGTTTTTGCTTGGAGGTAGCTGGTGAGGCCGCTCTAGAGCACTCAACTTGGTGCTCAGCCTCTCCTCACTGGCCTTGAGGCGCTCTTCCACCAGCTGCTGGAGCTGCCCCAGCTCCTTATTAAGTTGGGTCTTGATGTAGGTTCGGAGGACACAGACTTGGGCTGCACAGAAGGAAGGGGCAGGTCAGGAGAGATGCATTCTGAGAATGACAGAATGTCCCTGGCTGAGTGAACATAACCCCATGGTGTCCCCCATACAGATGGCAATGTTATTTACTTCAGTCTAGGAAATATCAACCAGCCTTTTTGGAGAGACTGTTAGGCAGATTAGGCAGAGTAGCTATGTTGGGCTTTTCTGGATTAAAATTCTGAATACAAATTAGTAGCTACATAGCTTTAGGCAGGTTGACCTTTCCATGCCTCAGTTTCCTTGTGTAAAATGTAGATATTGCTGGGCACAGTGGCACATGGCTATAGTCTCAGCTACTCAGGAGGCTGAGGCAAGAGAATTGCAAGTTAGAGGCCAACCTCAGCAACATAAGATTCTGTCATAAAGTAAAATTAAAAGGGTAGAGCACTTGCCTAGCATGCACAAAGCCTTGAATTCTGGGTTCAATCCCCAGTACTGAAAAACTAAAAAAGTAGATAGTAATGACACCTAGCAAGAGAGAACTACGTGAGTTAATATACAGAAAAAGTCTTAATTAAAACAAGACATCCTTTGGTGGTACACAGTATTGCCAAAGCTCTGCATTCTATTATTGTCATTGTTTTTCTAATCATCTTCCTAGAGCTACCTCTTTTGCCACCCCCACCTTCCCTAGCAGTTTTGCTCTTACTAATTCAACTAGGACTGCATAAGGAATCTTCTAGAAAGTGGACCATGACTAAAACTAGAAGTCTGAAGTCCTGATGTGGTCTACAATCTTCATTCAGAATCACAAGGCACCCTAAACCCTCCAGGTGCTCACATGGCTCTTGCTCTGGCTGGGCCACTATCTCCAGTTCTTCCTCCTGTGGGGTGAGTGCCTGCTCCTCTGCCTTCTCACCTTCTTTCTCTGCAAGCCAGAAGCAAGAAAAGGCCTTAGACTCTGCAGTGGGCTTGGCCCATCCCTGCCCTGGCCCTGGCCCTCTTTGGTACCCATCTTACCCTTTGGCCAAGGCTTGGGTGGCTGTAGCCCCATGTAAGTCAAAGATAGATCCAGCCGTACCTGGGAAGAGAAAGAACAAGACTAAGAAAAAGGCACCTGCATCGAGAGAAAGGGGAAGATGAGGGGCAGTTTCTTGCCACCCACATCACAGTACCTGGGGTGTGAACACATATTTGTAGAGTTTGAAGTGGCGGAAGTAGGTGTTGACCACGTAGTCTGCCAGGGCCAGCAGCTGTTCCTCCTTAAAGAGGTCAATGCTGAATGGGGGCCGCTGTGGTGATGACTGGGAGTTAGAGCACTGACAGCCTCCAGAAGCCCAGGCCCTTAAGCTATCTAGGTTCAGGGAGAGCCCACAGGTCTTTAGAGAAAGATGAGGGTAATAGTGGGAGAGAGGGTAGAAAATTGGGCTAGACCTTGTCTTGGGGATCAATGATAGTTCTGCCCTCAGATACTGACCCTGACTCCATGGCAGAAAAGAACACTGGTAAAGTAGCGGTAGCATTCCTCCACGTTGCCCAAGGGTGTTGCTGGTAGGGAAAGCAGGGTATGGCAGTGAGGCCCTTCCTGCTATCCATCCCTCCAGTTCACTGCCTACTTAAGGAACACAAGCTTCAGAGGTGGACAGATCTAGGTTTAAGTCTTTGTTCATTTCCTTAATTCACTCAGCAAATACTGAATCCTCAGTATGTGATGTTGTAGGCACTGAATAAGACAGACAAGGTCCTGCCATCAGGAAGCTTATATTCTAGTGGAAGTAACATACAATAATCCAAGAAATAAATAATTTCAGTTATTAAATATTCTGAAGAAATCAGAATAAGGATGGGGAATAAAAGAGTGTGGGGGGAAAGGCAGAAGTCATTTATTGAACACTGTGCATGTATTTGCATATATTATTTCTCAGTCTCACATAACATTAGTGCTCTGTCTATCAGTGAAGAAACCAGATTCCAGGTGGTAATCTCCTTACTCCTGCTTCCAGAGTCAATTGTGCCAGGCCAGTCTCCCCCTGTCCCTGGGGCTCAAACCTTCTGGTAGCCACTGCTCTCACCAGCACAGGCCTTGTGAAGATCTTGGAGCAGGGCACATGCCACTGATGTCTGCTCCAGTGAGAAGCCCTGCTGGCGGCAGAAGATGAGCGCGTGGGAGTAAAGGTCCAGGGTGATGGCATCCTGCAGGTTCTGCTCAGGACAGCCAATCTTCAACAGCTCAGCCAGAACTCTTAGGGAGAGGAAAGGAGTGAGTGACGATAGAAGCCTTGTTTCACCACCCTACACTCATGTTTGGAGCCAGCCATTCCTCATGTCTTCCTCCCCAAGAGCTCTTCCCCTCCTTGCTCAGTCCCATACTCCCTCATCTCCTCAATGTTGGCAGTCTTCTCCAGCCGGTGCATGGAATGGATGTCCAGGAATTTCCTATCACAGGAAAAGGGGAAACAGTATTTATGATTGGTACACATTAGATTAATGATGGGGCTTATTGCTCAGGAGATCTGAGTTTGAGGCTTGGCACTTTGACTAACTTTTGTAACCTTTGGCAAGTAACTTACCTCTGTGGGCCTTGTTTCCTCCATCTGTAAATGAGGAATATGGCCTACATGAACTTTTATGATCCTCTCAATGAGTTCTTGTCTCTGCTCTTCCACTACCTTGCCATATGATCTTGGTTAAATGCCCCTGTGATCTTCAGTATCCCCATTTGTACAATGTTCCATGGAAGCTATGATACTCCTTTTACATCCTCACTCTTGGCTCCCATCTCACACTGTCTCTTTGGACTAGGGGACCTGGAAAGGTGGCTTATACACACCTTGAGTAATGCATGTGTGAGGCTCAGTCTCCTTATCTGTAAAATGGGGATGTTCTGGGGCTGGGACTGTAGAGCACCGGCCTGGCACGTGTAAGGCACTGGGTTTGATCCTCAGCACCACATAAAAATAAATAAAGATATTGTGTCGAACTGCAACTAAAAATATATATTTTTAAAAAATGGGGATGTCCTGGTTGGGAAACACTAAAGGAATAATATAAGTATGAAGTATAACTTTCCCCCAAAGCTTTTCACTCACCACATGCAGATCCGGGGCTGGGGCAGTGGCGGCTGTGGAGAGAAAGTGCATTGGGGAAGGAAGAGGTGTGTTGTATCTGGCCCTTAGTCCCTGGTCCGCCGTCAATCTCCAGCGGGGCTGAGAACGTGCTATAATTTGCCTTCTCATCTCTAGGTCTATGTAGAGAAACGTGGTCACGGCTGGACTTAAGCAGGTCCTAAGTACTATCTGTGAAATTAACAATCTGGGCTACACATCCTCTACCTCTCTTCCTCAAAGAATCAAGGGAAACGTCCCGAACGTTAGGGAAGGTAATGACGGGTGACGCCCCGTGGGAAAACCATTTATACATATTCGTGAGCGGACCACTTTGTCCCACCCTCACCGGGAACAAGTTGGCTCCATCTTCTGCTTCCATAGAGGCCGAGCCCAGTGTAGCTGAATCGGTCCGCACACCTGTTCCCATCATGGCCGATCCATCCGCTGAACTGAGATCCTTCTCCAGTTCCCGCCGCAGTTCAGAGGGCTGTTCAAGCTCCGACTGCACCTTCACTCCCAGGTACTGGCTGGACTTAAGGCTGGTCATCTCTTCGGAGTCTCGAGTCACCACCAGCTCTCTCCGACCTGAGTTTCTGAAACAGCCTATTCTCTAGCAGCGACTGCCAAGGTCTGACCCTCTAGCGATTTTCCAGCCACTGTACGCGGCAGCTAGGCCGGTGTAGCCAATCCGCTGGGCCAGGAAGGCGTCTTCCCGGTCTCCAAGGTGACCGTTGCTAAGAGGCTTGTGAGCGAAAGGTAGAAAGTGCAGGCTCACGCAAATCAGCGAGAGGAGAATGCGCATGCGTGATAAGTTGCAAGGTATTTCCCCCTGTTTATCCCCTTGGAAGTTCCTAATAGAAGGGCTTGCACTGTCCTCTGGACAGGAAAGTGGGAGTTTGGTGTCAGTTGCCATGGGAACTGTCTATTGGCCAATCACCCAGAGAAAGAGGAGGTGTTCAGGAAAAAATCAAATGATCCGAGAGGCGGGACAAGCGCGACGGAGAAAAACAGGAAATGAAGACGCTTCGCCACATCCGGTGTTGTCTCTAGCGCCTGCGCCCTATGTGGGAGGGCCAGTGACGTCCGGTGAAATCCAAGATGGCGGCGCTAGGCTGACCCTGCTGTCGGTGAAGGCCCGGGCTGGCGGGGGCGGGATCTTTCAGGTGTGTGCAGGGGACCGCTCGGGGCTGTGGAGCATCGGCCGCTGCCACATCTCTGCTCTGTCTTCTTCAGGTGACCGAAGTACCGCCCTCTCCCGCGACCCTCGGGGGACCGTACGCCGCTCCTCGCCGCCGCAGCTATGTCTGGGCCCGGCAACAAACGCGCCGCCGGCGACGGGGGCTCAGGGCCTCCAGAGAAGAAGCTGAGCCGCGAGGAGAAGACCACAACTACTCTTATCGAACCCATTCGGCTTGGGGGCATCTCCTCCACGGTTCGTGGTCTTTTGCCCTAGTCTTCAGAACTTAGCTACCCCTCCTATCTCTGGTGTCCGCCCAAACCGTCAAGAATCTTAGTGCCAGGTCCCCAAGCTTAGAAAGCTTCACTATAAAGTGTTATAAAACACGTTTTCTTGTAGGAAACCAAGAGCACGACATCTGCCTTCCCCTTGCAGTTACAAAAACAGGTCCCCGAGAGCGTGTGATTTCTTAAAAACTTCAGAGTTAGGGAGAGAGGAAGACGCATAACTTGAGCCTTCTCATAACCAGGATGCTTTCTCTGGGAATAGCTGAACCTCTTTAAGTCTTGTTCACAGATATTTTGGGAATACCACCCTTCCATCCATTCCAGTTGCTTTCCTTATCTGCTTCTGTGATGGTTTCTGAGCCTTGCTTGACACTCTCCTTGGCACTTTTGTTTCCCTTGGCAGGAGGAGATGGACTTGAAGGTTCTGCAGTTCAAGAACAAGAAACTAGCAGAACGTTTGGAACAGCGACAAGCTTGTGAAGATGAACTTCGAGAACGAATTGAAAAGTTGGAGAAACGTCAGGCCACAGATGATGCCACACTCCTCATTGTCAATCGCTACTGGGCCCAGGTGGGTGCTTTCTGCTTTCTAAGATCTAGCCTTGATTCATTTGCTAATTTTCAGATTACCCTACTGAGAAAGGAGTTTCATGCTGGAAAGCACCTAGTGATTTATATTTCTGGTGCTTTCTCCCTTTAGCTGGATGAAATTGTAGAAGCTCTTCTCCGATGCCATGAGAGCCAGGGGGAGCCATCTGCAGGGATGGAGGTACCTGGGACTCAGGAGGGGCCAACACGTGATGTGATTCCTCTCACAGATCCAGGGACATCAGAACTGAGAGGTAGGACCAGAGCCCTAGGATCTGTGGAGCTTAACTTTTGGGAAATGTTCTGGAGAGTGGGAGATTTTGATTTGGGGTTCTTAAATTTCCCACCCCATCCATCTCCCCCAAGAAATCGTTTTTATGTTTGGGCAGAACATTGCCATGGGTAACAACAAAGACTGTAATTTGATGTGGTTTATAGTGCCAGTGTTGATATTCATCAAGTCCAAAAAACACTGTTAACTAAGTACTTAACGTTGTTTTGGATTAGAAGGAATCAGAGACAAGCAGAAATAAATACTATTCCTATTGTCATGGAGTAAAAGTAATAAGTAAAAACTATTGGGGAGGGCTGGAGTTGTGGCTCAGTGGTAGAGTGCCTCGCCTGCACATGCGAGGCCCTGGGGTCCGATCCTCAGCACTATGTAAAAATAAATAAAATAAAGACATTGTGTCTAATTACAACTAAACATTATTATTTTTTTAAATATTTGGTTTTTAGTTTTAGGTGGACACAGTATCTTTATTTTATTTTTATGTTGTGCTGAGGATGGAACCCATGCTTCACCCATGCTAGGCCAGTGCTGTACCTCTGAGCCACAGTCCCAGCCCCTAAAAATTAAATATTTTTTAAAAAATTATTGAGGTCCCTGAAAGAGAATAAGTATATGTACACACATATGTGTAGTCCTGCTTTAGACTGGGAAGGTAGATGACTTCCCTGAGGAAGTAATTTGGTAGCTCTGTAGCCTTGAGGAAACTACATTAACTTTTTAAACTTCAGTTGTCTTACTGTCAAGTTGGGGATAATAAGATAACTACTAATTGTGTTAATTGAGTGAGTCATGACATATGGAAGGGCTCAGTCTATAACTTGGTACAGATTGGTAGTCATTGCTACTGTTATTCTGATGAGGATCTGTCCATCCTTCCCAGAGCCCCTGCCAATGCAGCTGCGACCCCCTCTTAGTGAGCCAGCTTTGGCTTTTGTGGTGGCACTAGGTGCCAGCAGCAGTGAGGAAGTGGAGCTACAACTTCAGGGCCGAATGGAGTTTTCTAAGGCAGCCGTGTCCCGGGTCGTAGAGGCCTCAGATCGCCTGCAGCGCCGTGTGGAGGAACTGTGTCAGCGAGTATACAGCCGAGGTTAGTCCTACCCTAGAAGTGTCTGTCTCTGCCTACATCTTTATGGTCTCCCCATCCCCTAACCCATTAATGCATTAAGCCCAGAATTCCCCAAGGAATAAATCAGCCATGATTTGGGGGGAAATAGTCTGTAGATGGAGATTCTGTTTGATTCCTGGATGGAAGAGTTGTCGATGCTAATAGTGCCACCGTCTTCCAGCTAGAGACCTATCTAGAGCACTTTGTATAAATTTCAGTGATAGCTGTTGATCCACAAGGCAGAGCAATAAGTGCTTAGGCTTTGTAGGTTGGCTGGTTTCTCTCAGCCTTAGTTCTGCTTCGATAGTGAGGCCTTTCAGGGAAAATGGCTCCCCTCTCTGAGCTAGTTTCCTCCTTTGTACAGTGGGGATAAAAACTCCTGGTTTGCCATGAGAAACTGGCAAGACACTGGTGGATCACTCTGGGCACATATCAGACTCCAGAATGAGTTAGTACTTTAACCTGTTGCCCTTGGGGCTTGATTCTTACCTGGATCCTGCCTTCCCAGGGGACAGTGAGCCCCCTGGTGAGGCTGCTCGAGCACGCACCCGGGAGCTGGGCCGTGAGAACCGGCGGCTACAGGACTTGGCCACTCAGCTGCAGGAGAAGCACCACCGCATCTCACTGGAGGTGGGAATCAGGCTTTTGGTGGGGGAAGTAGAACCAGGGCAGGGTTTGGGTTAGATGGGCACCCAAAGATCTCGGGTTTCCAAGTCCCTTTATCCAAGCATCTGTCCCATCCATTGCCCCAGTATTCTGAGCTCCAGGATAAAGTGACATCAGCAGAGACTAAGGTGCTAGAAATGGAGACTTCAGTGGAAGACTTACAGTGGGACATTGAGAAGCTACGTAAGCGGGAGCAAAAGCTCAATAAGCACCTGGCAGAGGCATTGGAGCAGGTGAGGCTGAAGTGCTGGGGAAGATGGAACCAGGCTCGGGTACTTGGGACCCTGGCTTCTGCTCTTCATATCTATCACCTGTCTCGTCTCTGCAGCTCAACTCTGGCTATTATGTGTCTGGGAGCTCCTCAGGCTTCCAAGGGGGCCAGATCACACTCAGCATGCAGAAGGTGAGCAACGTCATTCTTCCCAATCCCTATGTCCCTCCCTTAAAATTTCCCTCAGGACCAAAGGCAAATGTCTACCTCATAGCCCCTTGCCTGTCACTCTTGGAGCTCTTTCTTTCACTCATTTATCTACTTATTTAGTAAATAATTACAGAGAACTAAGTGCTAAGTACTAGGTGGATTGGAGAGAAAAAATATCAATACTTTCTTGGAGCTTAGGTTATAGCTGGGGAGTATACAAATTAATGAAATAGTACATCAGTTGGTTATCAAGTACCACAAAGGAAAAGCACAGAAAGAAATAAATGGGGTTATATAGAGTCCCTTAGCATTCTGGGGTCACTGTGCTATTTGCCTTTTGCTTCAGCTGGCTTTTCAGGTCTTCTGGGAATGCTTCCTTGACTCCCTGTCAGTTAAGAACTTTAGCTCCCAATGTTCAGTACTCCATGCAGTATTGAAACCCCACACTTGCTAAGCAAGCGCTCTGCCACTGAGCCCCAGCCCCAGCCCACAAGTGGGAGATCTTGGGAAAGCCCTTGGTTTAGGGCTTCAGAGTCCCATCAGCGTGTTGCACAGGGTGGCTTGGGTAGAGTTTGTTGTTGTGGGTGAGAGGAACATGCTGCCTGTCCTGGCCCTGCCTACCACAGCCCCTCCCACTCCTTAGTTTGAGATGTTGAATGCAGAATTGGAGGAAAACCAGGAATTGGCCAATAGCCGCATGGCAGAGTTGGAGAAGCTGCAGATGGAACTTCAGGGTGCTGTGAGGACCAATGAACGCCTCAAGGTGGGCTGTGGTTGGGGCTGAGAGGGCCTGGGCCTGCAAGATAGGGACTGAACCCTAAGCCTATTGCTTGCCATTTGGGGCATCCCTTCTCCTAGGTGGCCCTTCGGAGCCTTCCTGAGGAGGTGGTACGGGAGACAGGCGAGTACCGCATGCTGCAGGCCCAGTTCTCACTACTTTATAACGAGTCTCTACAAGTGAAGACCCAGCTGGACGAGGCCCGGGGGCTGCTGCTGGCCACCAAGAACTCCCACTTGAGACACATTGAGCATATGGAGGTATGGCGTTTAGAGTGAGGGCCAAGTCCATAATGTTGAGATATTCCTGGGTTTCTGAAGCCCTCTGTACCTGCCAAGGGTCCCTTGGGAAAAAAAAATTCTTTCTAAGGCACCAAGGCCTAAGGTGGGACTGAGGGGTTCTATGGGTCTTTACACCTCAATCTACAGAGTGATGAGCTGGGACTGCAGAAGAAGCTGCGCACAGAGGTTATTCAGCTGGAAGACACCTTGGCCCAGGTACGAAAGGAGTACGAGATGTTGCGCATCGAGTTTGAACAGAACCTGGCAGCCAATGAGCAGGCGGGTATGTGGTGGGATTGGGTGGAGGGGGTTCTTATC